GCCAGCTCTTAACCAATGCACCCCTCAGCCGGCCCTTAATGTAAATTTTTTTTTTTTAGCTGAGCCATCCTGCCACCTGTTGGTAGCTCAGCTCGGGCCGGGACTCGAACCACTGTTGCTCAGAGCGCACACTCTTAAGCTTGCTCGCACTCTTGAGCGAGCTCTTAACCAACTGAGCCACTTGGCCAGCCCTCAATGTGAATTTTAAGGTCAGCCTTTCCATTCTGGCTAAAAAAGCCATTGGCATTTTGCTAGACTTCCTCTTAATGTCAACATCGTACGAAACCATGGTACATTTGTCAAAACTTAGAAATCAACACTAGATAGTTCCGTGAGCTAAACTGGCATTTGAATTTTATTTGGATTTCTCATGCCCTTTTCTGGCCCAGGATCTCATTCAGGATTGCTCATTGTGTTTTGTCTCCTCCAGCCTGATGGTTTCTCAGCCTTTCCTTGTCTTTATATATCCTTGACACTCTTGAAGACTTCACTCTTCTTTTTGCTGCTCACATTTGGCCATGAGAATGTCTTGGGGCCAGCTCTTTAAAAAGTCTTTGGGCCAGCTCTTTAAAAAAAAGTCATATTCTCATCTTTGGGGGGAGTGGTGGTGGCGGCGGCAGGGGTGAGGGTAGTGGGGAGAGGGTTGAATGACGTTTCTTAACCACCCATAACAAATAGGTGTGGTGTAGCGCGTGACATGTTCATCATCTCATTGGCTCTTTAGGACCTTCTGTCCAGGAGATATGACCTTATTTTACAGATGGGGGAACTGAGGCTCAGAGAGGTGAAATGACTTGCCCAAGGACCCACAAACAGAACAAAACTCACCCCCCACCCCAGGTTTTCCTCCTCTAGGCATTCAGGGTAATCCAGGTGTTTGGGGAGCGTCATGGACTGCAGAAGATGGGGCACAGGAGGGAAGCCCTGGGGCAAAGGCCCAGAAAACGACCTCCCACATAGCCTGTGGCCTCAGTGTTAGACATGGCCATAGCCCAAGCCACCAGGGAGGTCACAGAACCTGGGAGGCCTTGGCTGTAACACAAGGAATGAAAGCAGCTTGGGGGTTCAGCATGGGGCTCTGACATCAGCCTGCCTGGGTTTGCATCTAACCCGCACTACTCACTGACATTGGGAAGGGATGGAGCCTCAGTTTACCCCTCTGGAAACTTGGGGATTAGAGAGGACCCCACCTGTCAAGTGCGCATTTGATGAGAAGACCCAGGTCACTGCAGCACTGGCACCTGCAAAGTTAGGGAATACTTCCAAGACCACCCTCCCTCCTGACACCAATTGCAGAATTTCGGGGTCCCCAAAGCATCCTTAGGTTTTTTTGATTTTAGGGGAAGTTCACAGAATCACTGAAAGCTGTTATACTCAGTTAAAATTTATTACATTGAAAGACATAGATTAAAATCAGCCTAGGAAAGAAAGCACAGGGCAGAGTCCAGGAGAGTTCCGAATGTGAGCTTCCAGTTTCCTCTCGCCTCGGAATCATGGACAGTGTTACTTTTCCATCTTGACGTATGACAACATGCATGGTGTACTGCCAGCCAGGGCACTCACTTGAGCCTCAGCATTCAGAGTTTTTATCGAGGGGTCAGTCACATAGACATGTCTGACGATTGCATGACTGGCCTCGGTCACGGCCCCTCCAAAGGTCAACCTGATAGAGTGTGGCCCAAGGCCCCCACAGTAAATCATATTGTCACTACCCGGTGTGGCCAAGACCCCAGGGAAACAAAGACACTTTCAGGCAGACCATTTTAATGGCTTAGAGATCACCTATTAGGAGCCAGGGGCAAAGTCCAGACCTCTTTTGGGGCCAAGTTCAATTCTTTACTACTCCATGACACCTCATTGAGAGCTTCCATACTGTTGTCACATTTTATGTACACTATAACCCCATTTGTAGAACAGCAGCTGAGGCTGCCAAGGGGATATGGCCACAGCCAGCATGGGACGCCAGGCAATCTGCCCTGAGTCCAGCGCGCCTCCCTCAGCCATCCCAACCTCCCTGTAATCCCAGAGTGGCTGACTCCCTGCGTGGGCTGTGGCATTGGTGCTGGGCTGTTGGTGCCAGGCAGGGGCCCCCATGTGCATGTCTTCCACAGGTCGGGGAAGAAGCCCACTTTTCTGTGAAGTCCACGTGTCCCTGCAATTTCACCTTGTACTATGAGGTGGCTGCACGAGGCAACATCGTGCTGTCGGGCCAGCAGCCTGCCCACATCACCCAGCAGAGAAGCAGGCGGTCGGCCCCGGAGAAGCCAATTCGCTTAACGCACCTTTCCGAGACAGGTGAGCCAGGCCACAGGCTGAAAGTTCTGTTCTTCCTCCGAACCACTGAGACTGGGACAGGTACCCCAGACAGGAAAGGTAAGATGGATGTAGCCAAAAGGGAAGCCTGCCTCAGGAGGGCAGGTGTCCCAAGAGAGGCAGGGCTGGGTTCCGGAGGGAGGGCAGTGACTAGCTGCTGGAGGTGGAGAGGTTCTCTAAGGCCATCCTCGCTGTGTGTCTTCAGGGGACAGGGTGGGCCAGCCACCATCTGGGCCCCTACACTGGCACATATTCTTGCTGTGTTGCCATCTGGCAGCCCCTCTCTCTGCCTTTGCCCGCCTAGGAGTCCTCACCTAGGAGTCCTCCTCTCTCTCCCTGACTCCACGTGCTCCTCAAGAGACCCACCTCCTCCCCTTGGTCTTCCCCATCCCCCTCCTTTCACAGCCCTTCTGCCTAAAGCAGGGTCTCCAAAGTAGGATGCATGGAGAGCAGGTCACCCCTTGTGGTGGGGCATTCTGTGCAGGTAGGGTGTGGAACAGCGTCCCTGGTCTCCACCCACCAGATACCTGTAATAACCCATCCACACACGGTGTGATAACCTAAACAGCCTCCAGACATCACCAATGTCCCTAGGGGGAAATGTCACCCAGGGTGAGAATCCTTGAGATAGATAGATGGATAGATAGATTTATAGATAGATGGATGGACGATGGATGGATGGATGGATTAATTGACTCATGGAAAATAGATACATAGATTGAAAGATAAGTAGATTTATAGATAGGCAGGAAGACAGACAGGGTCTCTCATGCTAAGTCACTTTCTCACCCTTGGCCCTATTGATGTTTAGGGCTGTGGTGGGGCTGCCCTGTGCATTGCAAGGTGCTGATTAACATCCTGGCCCCCACCCCCTAGATGCTAGTAGCACCCCCAAATTGTGACAACCAAAAATGTCCCCAGATGTTGCCGAATGTCCCCTGAGGGGCAGAATCACCCTGGTGGGAGCCGCTGGCTCTGGGCATTGGGCATTGTGCACCTACATACTCTGGGGCTTCTCTTTCTTTATGGGTGAAATGACAAGGATATGAGTGTCCATGGAGCACTTGCCCTGGGTCAGTACCTCCCCACGCTGTGCCCCATGTCACCCCAGGGCAGCCTGGGGCACTGGTGGTCCCACTGTGGGATGCTGGGTTCTCATGCCTCTCCCACCTTTGGCTTGTATTAGCGCCCCCTCCAGCCCCAGCAGCAGAGGTCAATGTGTGTGTGACCTCTCTCCAACTGACTGTGACCCCCAGCATGGTCCCCCTCGGCCGTTTGCTGGTCTTCTACGTCAGGGAGAATGGAGAAGGGGTCGCTGACAGCCTCCAGTTCACTGTGGAAACCTTCTTTGAAAACCAGGTAGAACATTGGGAACCCCAGCTTGGGGGACAAAGGGGGGATGAGCAAGCACCATCCGGGGCTCGGGTCCTCAGGGTGTCAATGCCGGGATGGGCTGTGCACAGCTGCCACTCAGACTCTACATGGTGTCACAGGCAGGACTTGTAAGCAATAATTGGAACGTAAGTTGCATCCTAACTGTCGCATCTCCAAAAGTGACCCAGATGGGGATTGTATTCATCACACACAGGGAAAAGTGGTCAGCTGTTCTGTGTCCCCACTGGGCTCCAGACCTAAGGGACACTGCTCATGTCCTCAACAGTAGGCTTAGCCTCCCTCACCCTCTCCCTACACCCTTTGAAACTGGCTGGAACATGCCCTTGGCTGGCGCCTGTCTCCCCACCCCTCCCACCCATCCTCTGCACAGAACGTCTCAGTTGCACCAGCCTAGTTCCCGTCACTCTGCCTCCCACTTTTGTCCTCACCTGGGTGGAAAGCTCAGGTTCCTGGCTGAGTCGGCGAAGACTGACTCTCCTTGGCAGGTGGAGAGGGTGGTTGGCATGGGAGGGTATGGCCAATCTCCTGGTTTCTTTGCTGTGTTTGGGTCCAGGTTTCACTGATGTATTCAGCCAATGAGACCCAACCTGGGGAGGTTGTTGACCTGCGGGTCAGGGCTGCAAGGGGCAGCTGCGTGTGTGTCGCCGTGGTTGATAAGAGCGTCTACCTGCTGAGGTCTGGGTTTCGGTTGACTTCTGCCCAGGTGAGCGGGGCCCTTGGGTGCCAGCCTCCAGCACTTCCACGGGGGTCTCTCACTTTCCAATAAGTGAAGAGCCCTGTGTGACTCCAGATTCTGTCTCTCCATTGGGTTCATTTCTCAGTGACCCTACTCCTTGTCACTGCTTCAGTGCAGTTGAAAGGTCTTGGAGTCAAATTCATCAGACCCTTGCAATGTGACTTTGTTCAGGTCCCACCTCTCTGGCCCCAATCTGCCCATCTTTAAAATAGGCTAATGTCACTTCTCACCTAAAAATAAAAGGCCTTCCAAAGTGAGAGGCAACAAGCATTTATTTGAGATCAATGAGAATAGCTATTTGAGGATGCACTATTTCAGGCAGAAGCCTAAATAGTGTTCCGATTAAGAAACAAAGGCAATGCGTATTTATGAGAAAGGGAAGGGAAATAGTTACATCAGTAGAAGGAAGGCATTTCTATTGGTGCAGGTAATATAACATAATGATGTTAATTCTTAACAATTTAAAAAAAATTTTAGTCTAGTAGTTCATCCGTCTGGTAGTCATAATAACTGCTTTCTTGTTATCTTTGCAAACAGTTCTTTGGGACATAAAGTTGCTTTAGGCCCAGTCTAAAAGTTATTTTGCCATTTTAACATTCCAAAGGTTTGAGGCATAAGACTTGCAAGGCTGTTTCTCTGGGATGGCAGCTCCAGCTCTATTTTAAAGTGGCTCTGTTTATACTATTTTTAACACCACTAATGCCCACCTCAAGATTGTCTCCCAGTGACGTACGTGAAAGGAGGTTGAGAAGGGAGCATGCCAGACCCACGAGAGCCAGTTTGGGTTTAAAGAAACCATTAGCTGACTGATCCCCACTACCCCCTTGCCTGTAGGTTTTCCGGGAATTGGAAGATTACGACGTTTCAGATGCCTTTGGGGTGTCACGGGAGGACGGACCCTTCTGGTGGGCTGGGCTGACGGCCCGACGTCGCCGGCGCTCCTCTGTCTTCCCGTGGCCCTGGGGTGTCACCAAGGACTCCGGATTTGCCTTCACCGTAAGGACAGGCGGTCTTGGATGCTGGGCTCTCATGTCTCTCCTGCCTTTTCCCCCTTCCATGCCCCTCTTACTTTGAAACAAAGAGATGAGTGAGGGTGGAAGCTTTCAAACTTTTATTGCCGCAGAACTCATTTGCGATTCTCCCTCAATGAAAGCTCATAAGCCAACTGTTGGATTTGCAAAGCAGATGAGAGTTAAATGTTATCAGCATGGACTGACAACTTGAACTTGATAGGAAGCAATGATGTTCAGGGTACTCTGCTGGAAGGAAAACCTTCACACCGGGAGTGGGTGGCCATGTTCTCAGGCAACAGGTTCACTTGCGACGACATTCATAGCTCCTGTCCGTCCCCCTCCTTCCTGGCTACAGGGATCAGGGGGGTGCCAGCAGGTGCAGTATGCACATGTGTCACTCTAGGTCACACCAGGAGCCCACATACTGGCCGTCTCCACTCAAATGCAGGTTCCATCTGAAGGTACTTTTCATCCCAGTTTTAAAATCATTTAAAAGGCATTCCCCCCATTTTTATTATGGAATTTTTCAAACATATGGAAGAGTTCAACAAATTCATGAACACCTGTATCCCACAATTAACATTTTGTTGTATTAGCTTAAAAAGTTAAATATATATATATGTGTGTGTGTGTATATATATATATATAATCTATGAGGTTTGGGCAAAAACTACAGTGAATGTTTAAATAAAAAAAATTATTACAGGGGCGGCTGGTTAGCTCAGGTGGTTAGAGCGCAGGCTCATAACACCAAGGTTGCTGGTTTGATCCCCACATGGGCCACTGAAGCTGCTCCCTCCATAACTAGATTGAAACAACTACTTGACTTGGAGCTGATGGTTCCTGGAAAAACACACTGTTCCCCAATTAAAAAAAAATTATTACAGTAAAGGACACATTGTCATTAATCCTCCTCAAAATACCCCCCTCCCCTCCCTTTGAATACACTTATCCCAGCATTCTTGTGACTTTTTAAAGCAGTTCTGGAAGTCCTCTTTCTTGGGTTTCTTTAGTTGCACTGTCATGGCTGCCTTGATGTCCTAAATCAATTCAAAACGTTTACCTTTCATGGCCATTTTGACTTTGGGGAAGAGCCAGAAGTTGCACAGTGCCGGATCCGGTGAATGAGGTGGATGAGGACACGCTGTAATGTTTTTATTTTTTTTAATTTTTTATTTATTTATTT